AAGATCAATAATGGAAATAAATCTTTTACTTACATAATAATATATAATTTAGAAAATAAAGCCCTTATGCATAAATTTTTGGAATGCCTTGATTATAATTGGAAGCAAAATTCTTAAAAGAATAATATTAAAAAATAAACCAGTGTATATTCCTAAATAATGGTAGTAACTCATCTTTAGGATAGTTCAATTTTATCAGAGTAAATCTGTACACGAGCGGACGTTCAGTTTACCAGCAGTTTTCCAGCAGGATTTCACTTTGTATTTTGGAATCTCTTCACTTAAGTCAAACTAAAATCAAGTTCTTGCAACAGCTGCGCTATTTACATTGTTCCCTTAGTTGCACATTGCCCTGGTCTCTGTAAATGAAAGGAAGTACACTACAGTAGCAGCTGATGCTTTCAACTTGCCCCCACACTGCATCCCAAACTCATTCTCTCACCCTCTTCTCAGCCCTTTTCAAAGCAGGTAAGTGAAGCTGTGCAGGAGTTTCAGACAGAGCTCAACTTGTGTGAGGAGCTGCGCAATGTGGAGAGCTGGAGATGCGGATTCAAACAGAGCTCGGAAGAACCAACGCCACACAGCTCCCTCTGCACTACAATCCTGCCTGCGAGCATGCCCTGGCCCTAGTACTGAGCCCAGAAGGAGCATCTCAAGGAAGGGATAAGGCATACTTTGTTTCCAAATACAACAAGACATCATATTTGGAGCAGATGAGTGCTTGTCTTCTTAATACAGGTACAAGTAAGGAATCTGAGGTAACATTCACTGTATGAGTACTATTAGAATCCCAACTGAGAAATAAGCACTTCTGAGCAAACCATATACCATATACCAATGCAGTGTCATCACCGTACCCTACATCCATATCAAAGACTGGTAAAAAAAAATGTTTCAGAGTGTATTATTCGAGTAGTTGATCTATTTCTTCCAATAATAATTCAATTACAGGTTACAGTTTTGGAAGCATGAATTCCAAAATGATAATTGATGAAAACGGTTGCTACAGGCACAAACAAAAGAATTAAGCCATCAAACAATAATAAAGCATACTTAAAAAAAAAAGTCAGCTTTTAGAATTAAGATTTCTAAAGCCATCCAATTCAGTTTTAACAAAAATAAATCTCCTAAAAATGCTGACTGTAATAAGGCATAAGATTTTATTAATCATACTCATTGCTTAAATTCAGGGACAAGAGCTTTGTGTACTTCCTTTGTATTGATGTTTTCAGTCTATAGTCAGTTCCATTAACATTAGAAAATTCACATTCTTCCCCTAAACACGAGCATATGTAAATGTATACAAGCAGATAGTCTATCTTGCAGAAAAATAATGTTGGTATATCAGCCACCTCAAGAATAATCTTATACATCAAAACTGCAATTGATTATATTCATTTAGTATCTGCTTTCACATAAAGAAGATAAAAACAATCACAAAAAGGTTGAAGGGTGACAATTTTTGTGTATGTTTCCTCTTCATTTTACATGCCATTGTTACACTTATCATTACTGCATCTTAAAATAAGAGTTGTTGAAAACTATCTATAAGTCTTTAACTTAACATTTGTATCAACCAGTGAATGACATAACAATAAGAAAACTTCTAGGAAAGTATCAATCAATGCAGTCAATCTAAGGAAAATGATTCATAATAATAATATTAACAAGTAGAAAAACATTTTAATTGTAACAGGGGCCATTACTATTACATTGCAATAGACTCTCTACCTATGAAAAAAAACAATAAAATTCAACATCACTAAATTAAAAAAAAATGGTAACTACTCTCTCTCTGAAAAAAAAATTAATAAATAAACACATTTGTTATGTCTGACCTAATGAAAAACAAAACAATAGCCAAAATATTTTTCTGGATCCTCATTTGATATAAGGATAAAATTATAGACACTGCTGTTAGGTATTTACTGGGCCACAAAAAGTCCAGAGCTACATATGAAACAGACTAGCAAACTCAGAAAAATGAGAACTCACTTGGGTGCTATTTCCTACAAAAAGGAAAGTGTTTAACAATGATGAGAGTTTTGGTTATTTTTAGGTATTTATGTACACAGACTAGTAGGGTATTTATAACATATGTGTGTTTTCCCAAAAGAGTAATAGATCCATAGTGCCTTATGTTCATCCTAAGAATTTTGGGTGAGGGAAAGGGAGTTTATTCCCAAAGAGTTTTCAGTGACTAAAGTAAATCAGAATGTCAGGAAAAAATTCAATCATTATTAACTTCTTTGAGAAACCAACAGAAATAAAATAAATTCGAAGTTAAGTAATATACAATAAAATTATATTCAGATATAGTTTAAGATAATCATGTATCATTCTTCCTCTTTTGGAAGGGGAGGGTTTAAAACAGTAACTCTTCCCCAAGGCCAGCAAAGAACAGTGATCCCTGTGATAAGCATGATTAGGATATAGTTGTTTTCTTAAAATATATGGTCAACAGAGAAGATTTCTGAGCAATAAAATCAATACTTTTGATTATGTGTAAATTTCTTAGGTAAAATGAACCTCAGATTTAGAAACTGAATTTTATAGGGAAAAGAAGAATTTAAAAAAAAAAAAAAAAAAAAAAGGAAGCCAAGAAGTACTCACCTCTTCACGTAATTTTATCAACTGCAACATGAATGCACAAAAAAAAAAAAAAAAAAAGATAAAAAGGAAAGAAATGGCAGGAAAGAAAGATCAGTTGTGTGACAGGATACAGAATTAACATTGACAATTTATCTGTTTACATGTTTAGCATTTAAAAATCACAGACAAACACATTAAAAGAACCTAAACATAGACTACATGCAGAGTTTTTTGAACGAATAAAGATCACTTTCTCACACTGTCACATTAAACAAAGAGAATAGTGTGAAATTCTCTTTTAAAGTACATCTAAGACACCATCATGAAATAAAGGGGAACGACTTCATAGAAGTCTATATTATAAAGAAAGAAAACAAGTTTACTGTTCCTCTCTTCTAAGAATGTACCACTGAAGAGGTTTTGTATATACAAGTTTTCAGGATGTTTCTCTATTTGGAATCTTGACAACTGATTTCAGATTTTACCTACAAATGAAAATGATTAATACTTCATGCTTCGTTTCAATAGGTACTTAAAACAACAACCCATTACATATTAATTAACATTATACTTGTACCCATTCTAGTAATAGGATTGTATTTGGAGGTACCATTATTTTAATTGAGAATAATATAAGCCAGAATAGGTAATACTAACTTAGAACATTCATATCAGGAAATATTTCATTTTCCTTAGAACTACTCTATGTATCAGAGTTAATTTCTAGGTTCTTGTTTTGCTTAAGAAACAACTGAAATTACATGGCAAGTCTCATTTTAATCTTTGAATAATTTCTCAATTTTTCAATTCACTTCATTTTGTAAATTTGGTCATCACAATGCAAGGAGCTTGTTTCATTTGTACTGCATCTATTTTCACCAAAGTCAAATAAAAAACTCCTACGATAACAAATTCTCTTATGATAACATTTTAATTATCCTATGTATAACGTTTCCTATTTGTCTTAAATATAACAGATAAAACAAGTTGCTTATACTCTTTAGAAACTAGAGAAACAAAATAATAATAATATGTGACTCATTGTGTGTGTGTGCATGTGTGTGTACTTGACACTGTCTAAACCACAAATATCACTGTATAGTTGAGATGACTACCATAGTTTCTGCAATGAATAGAAATTGAAACCTATGTTATAACAGACTGTAAACCACATTCTAGGTCTGAAATTTGCATCCTCAGCAATTCAGGCCTAGAATTGATCATTTTTAAACATCCAAATATCTGTAACATCTGTTATAACATTTGACAGATGCAGGCCAATAAATTAAACTATTGCTTTGGGAGAAACCTGCCATGAATTGCTCACTACAGGTCTCTCTCAAAGTATCATGTTTACAATAGCCCAGATTTCTCAATTCTTAATGCTGTTTTTGTATGGAATTCAAGGAAGGCAGCATGCATTCCAAATTATTCTATTATTTTATTCATTATGTGAGAAGTATTTCAACTGCAAGGTATTTCAAAATTGTGATCTTTTATAAGAACAGAATGTATTATTTAATGTCTCAAATACACAAGTTGTCATCATTTCCAATTAATACATTCATTGTCTCAGCAACCATCCAGTGTGAGAAAAACATCTCACCATTTTATGTGAAAAGTTACAATTCCTCCCTAGCAAAAGTACAATTTTAAGTTAAAATACCTGGCCTAGCATATATTGAAATCTCCCTCTTTGTCATCTGAACATTACGGAAGAAAAAGGCAAACATTAATTCTCAAAAAGAGACGATCTGGGAATTGACCGCACAGCTATCTTTTCTTTCTTGGGGTACCATTCTTCAGTTGACTATGATACTTAAAGGGCCAAAGTTTAAAACTACTCCTTAGCAATAGAGACCATTTGGGGCATGCCACCCTGCCATAATCAATGAGTGTTTAAAAATGCTACCCATTTGTTTTTTCAATAGGTTCCAAACAAAAAACGTTCTATCTTGTTTGTGCTGCATGGCTGCATTCAAGCTCCACACCGGATTTGTAGCTAAGCTAGGTAATGGGAGGGTTTTTAATCTTTATCTTTTTTTTTTTTTTTAAGTTAGGCAGAGAGTTATTCATTCAAGTAAACAAAAGATGGTCTATTTTTGAAAATTAGCAAATGCTTAGACTAGACTGTAAGTAGTGATTTTGTATTTTATCGAGTAACTAGCTCCATCATAGGCAACATGAAAGTGTGCAATGCCACCATGTTGAGTTATGATAATCAACATCTTTTTTGAAACAAAGATTTTTTTTTTCCCCCAATGCAGAATTTGATACAAGAGGTAATCTGTTCCTTTGTGGGCTGAAAAAATCTGGTTTACGCTGGTTTGAACCAGTGGAATCTCTTGTGGTTAAGCCTTCTGCTGTGACTAAAATCAAAACTGCACTGCAGAGCATGTGAGGGTTCATGCGCGCGCGCCTCTGTGTGTGAGGTGCGTCACGTGACTCCCAGAACTACCGAATTTTTTTTTTAAAGCTGATAACGCCAGTGCCGTCTCTGTCCGCATACAGATAACGAATAAATGCTGAACTCTATTAAACGCCCTTTACACATTATCGTGGGTCGAACACACAATTTTCTGAACTTATGATGACAGTCTATTTATTTTGCTATAAACCCTCAGCACGTAACGAACAGATTTGTGCCTGGTAATGATCTGCTCTGCCAGGGCTATATGAAATGATACCGACCTCCTTTAGATCTTGGGGAATTAAATTGACCGACTTCACCCCCTGGTCTGTAGCTGAAGTTTGACACACTTTATGCACAGCAAGCCCAAATCGGAACTTAAGAGAACCTTGTATTAAAAAATTAAGCAATCATTATCTGCTAAATATTGCTGTACCGCAAAATTTCCACACGTTTGGAAATATCCTATTCTTAATATATTTTTTGAACATTTTATTTAGGATTTACTCGAAGTCACTGATCAATGTAATTTTCCATATGAAAACTAAAAAACCATTAGGGTTCAAAACTAGAGCTTGGGACATTTCATTTACCCCATTTATCATACCCGGTTATGAAAGGCATTATGACTTTATCCTGGAGGCTGTGTTTTTTTTTTTTTTTTCTTTCTTGAAGAAGATTATATGAAACAGTATCAAGTTAAAAATGATTAGTTTCCACTCTAAATACAGCATCACTACATTCAAGAACTTGACTCTCTCAAAGAAACAAAACGTGGCAAATATGATATTATAAAAGGATAAAATGATAATGTATAAGGCAGTAGTCTTTGGAATGCTGATAACCCAACAACACTCAAATGTACAAAGTAGATAATTTCATACTTTCTTTATATATCAAGTATAAGTTATATTTGATTGAGTGGATATAAATAAAAAAATCATACAAAGAAATTACTTTGTAATTAAATGTATGTATGAGAAATTACTTTGTAATTAAATATATGTATGAGAAAAATTTAAAATAAAAATTTTGAATGCTTAATTTCTGAAATTTTGACATTTCTAATCTTGACAGAAATATTTATATACCTAAGAATAAGACAATATACTTTATAGTTAATTGGAACATTATAATTAATTTATTCCTTGTCAGGTTTAGATGTTTAAAAATCTATATTATAAATTGCTAGGATGAGAAATAATAGCTATTATATTCATATGTATCTAAATTTTGACAAAGGATCTACTATAAGGAAATTGTGTTTATTGTACTGAAAATAACTAATTGGTAGTTTAACCAATTACAGTGATTACTATTAATTCCGTATTTTATTATTTTCCTTTTCTGGACTGTATATATTTTCAAATTGATAGATATAAATTTCAATTAAACCAATATTGCTATTTTTGTCTATGTTTTACCCATATATTGAAAGTTTATCATAATATTACATGGAGAAGTTTTGTGAATCAACTTACCAACAAGTAACTTGAAAGTAAACTTACTGTTGGCAGAAAACATTTTCTTATATGAATTATAGGTAATCTTACTTAGGAAAAACTCTTTCCAGCTATAAAAATTAATATGAAGAGCCAATTTCAAATCTTTTTTTTTAAAAGAAAGAGCTTCTGTTTTGATTCCATACTCAGAATGAATACTGATGCAGAATAAAAAGTTATTCTTAAGTGGCCATATCTGTTAAGGCTGTGTGTTAGCTTGGGGAAGAGCCCCCAAATAAATTTAATGACTTTATTATGATATCAAAATTTTGTCACATTTGGTAACAAAATATCCAAAAAGTCTAGTGTGATCTCTTTGAAATTTCAAGGCTCATTCAAATTTTAGACTGAGAAGTTCACGTAAGTAATAATCTAACAGTTACATATTCTCATGACTATAATTTATCATATTCTATTTATTGAAGTGACAGCTGCTTAAAACTAAACTTCAGGTTCTCCAAGCACTTTTGGAATTTGTAAGTTTGATTTATACAAGTCCAGGGGAAATCTCTGCATAATCACTTTAAAGTGACAGGAATATAATTTGAAAAATTCAGAAAATATGAACTCAATCTATTTTTGTGGAGTATTTTTCTTTAGGCATAAAGAATCATACTTATGTACGTAAGGAAAACGTTTTAGGCACATAAAATGTCCATTAAGAGAAGTGAACATGCTTAAAAAAAAAGAGAGAGAGAGAGATCCCTGTGACAGAACTACAACATCCATTACAATAAAGGAGTCTGAGTTAGACAGGAACACCTCCTTCCTTCCTATTTCCTCTACATTAGGCAGTAGTTTCGAATGAAGGAAAGATCTATAGCTTTCTAAAGAATTGACATGGGAACCACGCATTCACTTTTTTGCAGAAAAGAGAATGCTTTTTTGCAGTAGAGAAGAAATAAAATGATTCATTCATTCAAAAGGTATGAAAAATCTAAATCTCATTTTAAAAAAGGAAGAAAATATTTTTTTGCTCATCCTCACATTATTTAATCTATTATGAGTAAATCCCCTTTATCACATCTTCCTTCTATGTGTGATGTGCTATTTTTTTTTTTCTATTCTCACATTTCAATCAGGGAAACTGAAATCCCAAGTCAAATCTGAATGTGTTTACATGTCTGTACTCAAACTGATAATAGCCAAACGGTGGAGGAGGAGAGATCCTTCCCCAAACAAACGTAATCAGCTCAATGATCCTTCTCCCCTTTTTTGGGGTGGGTGGGGCCTACATCACACAAGCAACATCTCTGTTTACAATATTAACATTTATAGACTGTAGACCTATAACAGAATCTATTAATTGTTAATTAGTCATGTATATCTATGCCATTTTTGCCATGCATATCCATGTATTATGTTTTACTATCTCATTAAAATTTTGATTTACTCAGTGAATGATTTAAGTAGAGACTTTCACAATACTTGCCAAAGTACAAATATGTTGAAGTCTGGCTTGTGAAGTTCCCTATTATCAGTTACTGGTGTTCTGTGAGACATTTTTAAAGTCCTCTCCAAACTGAGGTTCTTTAAACATTTCTTAAAAAGTCATATATATGATCTGCATGAATTAATAAAGTCTGCAGTATCAATTCAAAGAAAGACGTAGGATGTTAATTAGACTCATGACATTTCCATTTGATCCAATGAGAATCGACAGGCAACTTGTAAGGCCTTTGAAAGAAATTCTATCTTATTTTTTGCTTATGCGGATCTGCAAAAAAGACTTACCCTATTATCATCACCATCATCACTATTATTTGACAGAAGCAGGTCTCTATATGGGTATCCAAATTCCACACTGGTGCTTACAATTTGCATTTGGGTGAATGTATTTTTAAGAAGCTACACAATAAGAAACTGAGCTGGCCTGTTGCATTTTGAAAGCTTACTTTCATTTGTTTTGCTGCAAGTGTTGATTTAATTATACTGCATTATTATCAAAGCTGTATTATGTACTTTTTTATTCCTTTTACATGTGTTTGAGGTGAAGACCTTGGCTTTGTCTGCAAACAGTGTGTTTCAAGTTATTCCTTAAGTACTAAATAATAAAGAAAAGAGAAGAAAAGATTTTTTTTAAAGATAGCAGACAGTGATCACAAGGTAAAGGGTTAAATGTAAGATCTCCAAGAAACATTTTGAAGTTGATTAAGACTCCAGCTTTGCATTAAACAGTATCGCTTCCACATGAGTTGCTGCTAAGACTGTTAAGGAGCAGCTTGAGAGCCCAGTGTGCCACTGACCTCCTTCACCCTCCAGCCACCCACCGGGCCATCCTGATTAGCATTCTACCTGGTTCTCGGAGGAATTCCCATCATCCCCTAGGAGCTCATTCCGTACTTCGTCACTGTAGGCGATCCGTGACCTTTTCTATAAAACAAAACAAAAAGGGAGAGAGCAAGATGAACGTTAGAAAGTGAAGGCTTCGAAGCGTTATTGGTATCAAGGCTGATCATCTCAAACCTCGAGAGCCCCCTAATGGAAACCTATTGGCTAAAATCTGCAAACCAAAGTTGCATAAAGTTCCTGAACGAGAGAAGTTTCATGCAAATTAGAAATTTTTTAAATGCCAATAATGAAAAAAGAATCTCTGCGTTGTGTAAGTATTCAATTAATATTCACAAACAGATCAGAACTTTTATTCCATACACTGTCATTCAAATAAAACCACCAGGCTGAAAGACAGCTACATAGCTGTGTATCTGTAAAACTTGCTCAGATTGTAATTAAAATAGGAGTATATGGGAACTTTTAAAATTGTGCCAGGAAATGGACTACATAATAGAGGTTTTTAAAAATCAAATTCGAGGATGATAATTATGTATCTCCAACTATACTCTGGAATGCCTGGAATAACATCTATATTTATTCCATTATTATTATGCTACTAACCAGAAAGAGGGGGAATGTAAAAGCCAATCCCCTTTCCAAACAATACTTTAAACGTTTCCAAGTTCTCTGTAAATGATGGCCCAAGGAAAATTAATGGGAGGAGTGTGTGTGTGTGTGTGTGTGCACGCACATGTGGGAGTGTATGTGTTAAAACAAATTAAATTTCCTAATCCTAGTAAATAAAGGCAAGTAGGCTATGAGTCAACTTTTCACAATTCCAATAAATAAGGACAAGGGGGCTGAGTCAATGTTTCGTACACTGAAATTTTGTTTTACAAGAAATCTACCCTTACTTGCAAAGTCAGAGAGACGTGTCTGCAAGCGATTCATGAATTACCTAAGTGTACACACATTTGGAACAGTTGAAAGGCTCTGAAAATTAGTTGTGAAGTTAGAATGTGGTCCTCAGATCCAGCTTTAGCATTATTATTTCAGACCCAAATTCAGATTTAAAAGTTACTTTGCTGCCTTTTCTGCTTCTGAACTAAGCAAAAACAATTTAAAAATGGCAGTTGGGAAACAGGCATCTCCCATTTGGGTTCTATTGTTTCAGACTTAAAACTTCTTACTTGTTCAGCTGTGATCCAAAAAAAGTAGTATTATACTTAAAGGGACTATCCATAATCTATGAGCAGAAGTCAACCACAAGATTTTTAATTAGATTTGTAAACTACTGAAAGAGTAATACTGTTGGCCACATACTGATTATAATACCTTGAACAGAAAATCATATAATAGAATTTAAAAGGACTTTAGACAAGAACAACCAATGGGCATTAAATTACTTAAAGTTGTAGCCTTGTCCACTGGGGTTCCTTATCTGAACCACAAGACAAAAAATTACTTCAGTGACTATTTTCTGTATTCTTCTGAGAATGATAGAGAAAGAAGAATTTAGTTAATTATATATAATTGAAGATTTAGGGCTTGAGGCTCTGTCAGACCTCAGATAAAAAAAGGCTGGATGGTATACACATAAAAATAAACAAATCTAGACACTCCTTTATTCTTTAGGCAAGAAGAAATTAGTCTCCTGGAATCTGAAAAGTAGCTTTGGTTAAACTGAGACTAGAATCCTGGGTTCCTGACTCACAGCTCCGTGCTCATTCTACCACACACAATGTCCTCTCCTTTCTAATACTCTCTGGATAGACCCAAGGAAAAGGAGACAAAAGTTGCCAAATGTTTTAGTATAGTGGAGATAGGAGCATCCTTCCCCTGCCCTAAATCTCTATCCTAATGCAGGCTTCCCCGCCACAAATGTGTATTTTACACCTTGGCAACTGCAGTAAGTCTATAAGTAGATAAATAAAGTCCACAATGTTGCAGAAAGGACAGAGTTGAAAAGTTAAAGTCATTAGCCTGAGGTCAGTAAAGACATCTATGTCACATTTCTTAAGATTCAGGAGTGACCTAACTCATTCATTTGTGAACAAGACAGACTTTTTAGCATCACAAACAGCATATATTAAGCCTGCTCCTCTTACTGTACTTACCAAAGCAACTGTTAATTAGTTATTTCTATCGAATTAATATGGAACTGTATTTAAAAATGCCAATCACAAAAACATCCACTTCATGAGTTAATACGATATTTCGATCCAGCCATAGCTTCCTTTCACCCATTTGGAGATCCCCACACTACTGTGGTTTCAAACTAGCTAAGCAAAAGTATTTTACAGCATTAAAGGAAATGAGAACCTTTAAACAGGCTGTGGTATCAGAGCTGCCTTTTTAATTATTCATTTCATCACTATGGGGGACTAAAACATTCCACAGTATGCAAGAATATCATATGGAGATTGTTTTTGTTTTTCCCTTTTTTCACCCATATATCAACAAATTGGCATAGATTATTCAATTACATTATATTCTTATTTAGATTTACTATACTTCAAAAGAAGAAGAAAATTGCAAATGGATATCCCTAAATATCTAATCTTGTTTTGGTTTGAATACATTGCTTTAAAAAAAAATGGCAATTAAGAGTGTACATGCTTAGCAACAGAGGAGAGCTAAGATTTATCCACAGTAGAAGGGTGGTCCCTATAAATGTCATTCTTTACCATTGGGATAATAAAAACTGGTCCTTCGGATGCTTTCTAGGTATAATTAAGCACATGGTATGCTGAGTTTAACAAAGTGTTTTCTGACAGGACTGACTTTTCTTAAAAAATTAAAAGATGTCTCATTTCAAATATCAAAAATAGTTACTCATGGATACAACTTACTAATCTTGAAAATCAAATTCCTTATACTTGAGTTTCATTTTTCAAGATAAAACAAACCAAGAGTGTGTTGTATTAATAATTACATTTAGATGCCCAATGCTGGTATTTTCTCATAATTTTTTTTATGGTTTGAAATTTTAAGTAAGCTGATTGCAACCAACCATAATTTAGCCTCCAAGATCATCATTAAATTAACTGAATACCAAAAAAAGGGTGAAAACCTGTGAATGAAAAACTGCTTCTTTTATGGATAATTTTCCTCTAAAACATCAGTAAATTACATTACTTTTTATGAATTTTTTAAAAAGCCTCACACTACATTACTTAAGCACCTACATTATACTCTAATTTGGAGGATTCCAAGTTAATGAAACTGAAACATCTACTGTATCTTGATAAATCTAACTAAAATATTTTTACTATTAACTGTATAAAATCTGTACTTTAGCCAAATGCAAGCATGAGAATTTGAGCTGGAAATGTCACACATTCAGCTACAGTTTGAAGGAACCCAATTCATAATGCATTTTATAAATAGTTAATGACTTCTATACATAAGCTAACCAGGCAAATCAAGAAATTGTCAACATTTTTAGTCTTAGTTGTCAGTTACCACTGTCTACTGGTGCTTTATATGTGGCTTCTGGAGAAGACAGAAGCTCTATGCAGTTTGTAATCTAGTGCAATTTCTGGTCTGTACCATGGGGTGGAAAAAGCTTCAACTGACAATACTCCCCCTCCCCAACACCCACACACACACATTGTTAAATACAAGAGTATTCCTCACTTTTAGTTGTGTGTTTGTGTAAAGCTTATTCCTTCTAACTTACATACTAAGATGGACAAAACATAGTTGGACAGAAAATTTCTGGACCATATGTAAGAACTAGAGAAAAAACCCTGACAAATTTACAACTGATTGTTACATCTAAGAAGTTAAATGCACAAAGTTTCAATGGCTATTTTAAACTGATGACAAAGGTGACTCTGGTTACAGAAGCAAGAAGTTCAGACTTGAAGCAATTTTCAATTTTCACTTGGTATATGAATTGGACTTTTGTATACTGACTGGCTGATTTTCTTAAAGACAAGTTCAAACAGATACTCTTGCTCAGTTCTGTCTGGGAACTTGACTTGAAACAATCTATTTACTTGACCCAAAACTTAACATTTCCCAACTAAAATGAACACATTCCTGGATAGGCACTGCTAAATAAGCAACAAAATGAATTAACTTAGTTTAAACTAATTAAAAATTGTGATCTGTGGTATCACCTCCTGTACGATTCTACATGAGAAACTGTGTACACGTAACAAGAATGAGGATTCTACAACCCACCCCTAGCAAAAGCATAACAATGAAGTTGGTTTATTACTAAAGCATATATGAGAATTTAATTTCCATGGCGTACACATGGCAAAGCAATTGCTTAAATTGCCTCACCTGGGAATTTAATACAATGTTATCATCAGACCAGCCACATTGTAAATAGATTTATAATGCTTTCCATGTGCTGTACTCTGTTGCATATGAATTAAGTAATGATCTGGTATTACAATAAAATCAGCTAGTTCCCACACCTGGCAGACAGGATATTTCACTAAATTAATACCCATACAGCTACATCACAAGGCAAGGGAAAGGAAACCTTCTCGAAGGCATTCAACTTGAGTTTTACATGGGAAGCAAATACTCCAAGGCGATGTAGAATGTCACTATGTTGAATGGACTGCTCAAAACAATCTGTTTCTAACATCTGCATCACAGAATTAAGACTTTCTCATTCCCATTCAATTCTGGCCTAATTTTCTTCATTCAGTACTTTAATTACTAATCAGCAATCCACAACATTCACAAACACTAAGAAAGCCCTTTATTCTAATCTGTGTGCTGCAGACAGCCAAATAATTGATACAAAGTGCAGTACGGTTTTGGTAAGTAATGAAAGAACAGTTTGTCCTACTTCCTAATCGAATTGGTCTACAGAAGAAATGGTTAATAGATTTCTCCATAGGTCTAAAACAAATTATCCAGTCTGGACAAACTTTTCCATTGCTTCTACCATGTCTTTCAGCCTCCATATATTTAATAATGCCCAAGGTTACCAGGTGATACATCTATTAAAAGCTGCTATACTTTCATAGCCAAAGAATTTAACTGCTCCAAAGAATTTAACTGCTCCTGTTATAATTAACACTTTGGGATATCTATATTATACCATGAAATTATATTTATTAGTTAGTCAC